CAGAACTGCCCTACCACCCAGCAATTACACTGCTGGGGATTTACCCCAAAGATACAGATGCAGTGAAACGCCGGGACACCTGCACCCCGATGTTTCTAGCAGCCATGTCCACAATAGCCAAACTGTGGAAGGAGCCTCGGTGTCCATCAAAAGATGAATGGATAAAGAAGACGTGATATATGTATACGATGGAATATTACTCAGCCATTAGTAATGACAAATACCCACCATTTGCTTCGACATGGATGGAACTGGAGGGTTTTTTTTTTTTAATCAACAGTATGTACCATTTCAGCTTTTATTAGTAAAACAGAAAACTAAATTCAAGGCAACTGCTTTGTTCTTGCATCTGACCTGACCATATTACTGGAGACGGGATTCTTTAGGAGGACTTAAGTTTCGATATACAGACAGGTTTCATCAAAAGTGGGATATTGCAGTATCTCATAAGGTTAGGTAAATGAAATAAAAAAGAGAACGAGTTAAATATTAAAAATCACAGAAATCTCCCTCAAATGTCAGGGATTTCCTATGACAGTCTTCAATGTACTCATCAAGATCAATCATATTGCACAACCCCTAAAGAAAAAAACTGAGGAAACTCACGGGTAATTTTCACAGCTTCATTGTAAAGGCCAAGATCGAAAGGATGGTTATCTTCTTTAAACTGGACATATGATGCACACATAATGGTTGCTTTGGCTGTTACTCTTCCAACTACTTCCACGATTCCAGAGATTTCTTCATCAAGGGGCTCCATCAACTCAATGGTTCCATTTTTTCCTTCTCCATCTGAAAGAATAAACATTTTTCCAGTGGGATCAATCTTTTCCAGCCTCCCCACGAAGCAGACCGGCCTGTCAATGAACTGAGCTAGCATATTGGCATTGACGCGTGACTTGGGCAACTCCATGATGTCCACCATGGTTGCAGCGCGAGCCGGAACTGGAGGGTATATGCTGAGTGAAGTAAGCCAATCGGAGAAGGACAAACATTATATGGTCTCGTTCATTTGGGAATATAAAAAATAGTGAAAGGGAATAAAGGGGAAAGGAGAGAAAATGAATGAAAATATCAGTGAGGATGACAGAACATGAGAGACTCCTAACTCTGGGAAACGAACAAGTGGAAAGGGAGGTGGGCAGGGGGTTGGGGTGACTGGGTGATGGGCACTGCGGGGGCACTTGATGGGATGAGCACTGGGTGATATGCTATATGTTGGAAAATTGAACTGCAATAAAATAGATAAATAAATAAATAATTTTTAAAAATTAAAAAAAAAGAATAAGAAGACAAGCCACAGACTGGGAAAAAATATTTGCAAAAGAATATATCTGATAAGGACTGTTATCCAAAAATATTCAAAGAACTCTGAAAACTCAATGGTAAGAAAACAAACAACTGGATTTAAGAATGGGCCAAAGACCTTAATAGATACCTCACTAAGGAAGATCTACAGATGGCAAAAAAGCACATGCAGAGATTCACATTATATGTCATCAAAGAAATACACAAATTGAAACAAGGAGATGCTTCTACATAGCTATTTGCATGGCCAAAATCCAAAACTCTGACAGCAGCAAGTGCTGGCGAGGATGTAGAGCAAAAGAAACACTCATAGATTGCTGTTAGGAATGCAAATTGGTACAGCTACTTTGGAAGACAGTAGTAGTTTCTTACAAAAGTAAATATTCCCTAACTCCACATTCCAGAAATCATGCTCAAAGAGTTTAAAACTTATGTCCACACAAAACCCTGCACATAAATGTTTATAGAAGCTTTATTCATAATTGCCCAAACTTGGAAGCAACCTACATGTCCTTCCATAAACGAATGGATAAGCTGTGGTCCATCAAAACAATAAACATTATTCAGCATTAAAAAGAAATGATCTATCAAGGCATGCAAAGACACAAAGGAGACTTAAATGCATATTACTAAGTGAAAGAAGCCAATCTGAAAAAGCTATTTGCCATAGGATTTCAACTATGTGACATCTGAAAAAAAAAAGCCAAACTATGAAGACAGTAAAAACACCAAGAGTTGATAGGGCTTAGGGGACAAGGAGGAATAAATATGCACAGCATGAGGGATTCTAGGGCAGTGAAACACGTCGTCAGAAACACGTCGTCATTCATTACATATTTGTCCAAACCTACAGAATGTAAAACAAGTGTGAACCCGCAAACTATGGAATGTGGGTTACTGTGATACATCAATGTAAGTTTATCATTTGTAACAAAGGTACAGAGCTGGTGAGTGATGTTGATAACTGGGGCAGCTACTATGCCTGTGTTGGGGCAGAAGGCATATGGGAATCTCTGTATTTTGCTCTCAATTTTGCTGTGAACCTAAAATTGCTCTTTTAAAAAAATCTTTTTTAAAACAAAACGAACTAGTCACCTCTCCCAGTCTTTGCAAACTGGTTCTCAGCTATAGTAGTTCTTTACTAATTAGCTGGCTTGCTTTCAGCCAAGGGACTAGATAGATGTGAAAACTTAAGATCTCTTTGTTCTTTTCTGAACATGCCTCTTGGTTGGGCCTCCTGTTGCTTTTTCAGCTGCTTTTAAATGTCTTGATTTCTCCAAGAGTCTCATTCCAAGCCTCCCCCAGGGGCCTTAGATGATCTATCTTGTCTGTATCCTTCATTTCTTGCCCCAGGTATCAGTGTGACTGTCGTCTACCTATAATTTTCATGAGCAATGCTCACTGCTTCCCCCTACTTGAGATCTGAATGAGGCAAGACAGAGCTCAGTACTTCTGGCAGCCCCCAAATAAGCTAGAACTTTACAATAAAGGTTGCCCTGCTCTCATCCTGATAGAGAGAAGGAATGGGAACTGCACTGCACTCCTCCCAGACTAAGACACCCAGCGGGGGACGGGGAGGCGCAAGCACAAATACAAATGCCACAAAACTTCCACGACTTCAACTGTGGTTTTTACTTTCAGTGTTTGGTTGCTGTAGATCTTTTTACTTTTTTCCAGAGGCTTTCTAAGCTTATTTCGGCTAGTTTCTAGTAAGTTGGGTTTTTGTTGTTGTTGATGTTTCCAAAGAGGATTGAAGGCTTGGAGCTTTTGTCATTTTGCTGACCTCCTACTTTGACTAGAAATCGTAGACCACTCAATATGGTGATTATAGAAAAGAAAATATATAAACAAAAGAAGCAAAACTGTCATTCATGTGCTATATATTATACAAAAGGTCCAAAAACAACAAATTCATTACTGTAATTAGGAGACATTAGGCAGTCAACTGTGTACAAAACCAATGCTTTACAAATAAAAATTTTAAAAAGATGCCATTTACAAAAGCTTTTAAAAATATGAAATATCTAAAATTAAACTCAAAACTATTCAATAATGCTATGGGGAAAATAGTGAAGACACCATGGGGAATTATTCAGATCAGAGGGCTGAAAGCTATGTGCAGAGAGAAAAAGGAGGGAGGGACAAAAGCAGGGGGAAAAAATGTGTCCTTTTGCAGAACAAGCAGCTCCTGCCAAGGAGACATATGGCCAGGTGTTCCAATGGATACACCCTTGCATGAGCCAGTTTGGAGCTCAGGACCTGAGCAGAAGCTCTGAGTTGCCCTAAAGTTGCCGTTAGCTCATTATAATACTGAGATCTCCTCCTATGGTAGGGTTTGGGGCCTTTGTTTGTTTGTTTAACATACAACATATGCACTAGTATGTTGACAAGCTAGGTATTTGTTGTTGTACCAAAGTACCTAACAAATTATGTGTAAGCTCCCTATTGTATCCAGATACGTGTCCGGCCCCCTAGCACACTGAATATAAGCTTCCTGCACTGACCCCATGCAGAGACAATGCTTTGAAAACTACCTCCCTGTCACCTCACTTGCTGCAAGTAATACAAACTTTTTGATCCAACCAAGAGACCTGGGCTGGTTTATTGGATGATGCTCTGCAAGGGGCCGACTCTTTGTGTTCGGTGACCACTATCCATGGTAGTGGATTAGGAGAGTCAATATTGTGAAGCTATCAATTTTCCGAAGTTAACCTGTAGAGCCAATGTATCCAGTCAAAGTCTCGGCATTTCTACAAGTTGGCATGACAATGATGATTCACGTGAGTTGATTACAGCCAAAACACTTGAACAAAAATTCATGGGAAGGATACTTACTCCATCTCATCAAGATTTCGTTTCCGGGTATATTAACACGGGGGCAAGGTATCCGTGACCCTATTCTACAAACTGCCTCCATACCTACCCTAAATACTTCCAAACCTGCTCTTTCACTTTTCCCTCCAACACTTACCTTCTAAATTCTTATATGATTGGGGATCCCTGGGTGGCTCAGCGGTTTAGCGCCTGCCTTTAGCTCAGGGCGTGATCCTGAAGTCCCAGGATCCAGTCCGACATCAATGCTCCCTGCATGGAGCCTGCTTTTTCCTCTGCCTGTGTCTCTGCCTCTCTCTCTCTGCCTCTCTCTCTCTCTCTCGGTCTCTCATGAATAAATAAATCTATATGATTATATTCATGGCTTATCGTCTGGTCTCTACCGACCTGACCAAAAAAAAAAAGTTACCAAGAGCAATTAGCTTTGTATTGTTCCCTGACATACTTACAATGATTTACAATAGCATCTGGAACATAGCAGATGCTCCATACACTTAGGATTAATCACTGAAGGGAAGATAGGTTCTCGGCGGTTGTCCGCTTGCCTAATATCATTCATGCAGATGTACAGCTAGAAGAACCTCCGTTTCCTTAGCGAGGAACCGGTAGCCATCAGTCTAGCAGCCCAAAAGGTGTTTCCGCGAGACCGGAAGTGGAAGCTAGTCACGTGACGGGCTGGCCCGGGCCCGCCTCTCAGGCTAGGGCGGGGAACTTCACTTCCCAGAATGCGTCGGTTCTCCGGTGGACTACATTCCCCAGAGGCATTGCGGCCGTCCTCGCCAGCCTCTGGTCCCGCCTCTCCGGACCTGCGCCGGGCGCCGGTCGTTTGCTGCCAGAGCTAGCGGCTTGGCGACTTGAAGTCGGCCCAGGCATCGACCCGGGAGGAGTCGCGATCCGGGCTGCTGTCCGCCGGGGCAGTGTCGGCGCCTCCGGCTGCGGAGCACGGCCGAGGAGGCGCAGCCCCCGGGACCCCGAGACCTGGGCGAGGTGAGCGGCGGAGTGTGGGCGGAATGCCGGCCGGAGGGAGGACCGGGGCCTCGGGAGGATGCGGCGCCGGGGCGCGGGGCACAGGCCCGAGAACCGCGCGCGGGGCCTTTGTGGGCGCGGGCGGACCGAGGGCCGGGCTGCGCCGACGTGCCCGCCTGCCCCGCTCCGGCCGCCCGCGGACGCGCCCCTGACCGCGGCAGGTCGCGCGCTTGTCCCCGCTGGCCCAGGCCCGGCCACCCTCCTGCCCCCTGCGGGCCCGAGCCCGGGGCGCTCCCTGCCGGGCCCGGCCGGCGCTTGGATTTGCTACCGGCTGTCGGTGAGCGGGAGGGACCGTGTTTCCGCCCCTCCTCGGCGCCTGTCCTCCCGGGCTGCGGGCTCCGAGACGTGCTTTCTCCCAGAAGTGAGTTGCCGCCTCCCGCGCCCTCCCGCGCCCTCCCGCGCCCTCCCCCCGCGGCAGAGCTGACCTGGAACGCACGTGTTCGGGTTCAGTGCCCGCTCCTCGGACGGCGGCCCTCGGGCCGGCGCAGGGACACTGCTGTCAGCCCTTCCCGAAGCACTTCTTTCCAAAAACCTGGAGGGAGGTTCCCTGACAGGAGGAGGAGAAGGTGGGGGGGGACAGCTCGAGCTGCAGAAAAGTTGTCCCCTGCAGGCGGTGAGGTGAGAGCAGGTGCTCTGGAGGCGCAGGTGCGGATCCCGCGCGCCGTCGCCGGCGGTGTGCGCTGGGGCCAGTGGCTCCCACTCTGCCCTCAGTTTCCTGATCTGCGAAGTAGGCGCGCTGACAAGTGCGGCGGGTGGGGGAGGTTCAGGGAGCCGCCGCTGCCGCTGCCGCTGCCGCTGCTGTAGCTGGAGTCCCAGGTCCTATTTCTCCGAGCCACGGGGGCAAGAGTTGGGGCCGGGACCATGGAGGGCTGGCCCTTGTCTCTGGGCTTGTCTGCCCCCAGCTCCGTCTGGCTTCCCCCTCTGAGGGCACGAGGCGTCATTCTCGGGGGGTGTAAGGATTTCGGAGCCGGTGATTCCCAGGAGTGGAAAGCAGAAGGGGCTTCTCCCTCCTGGCTCCCTTTTTCCTCTTTCAGATCCGCCTCCTGGAGACTCCACCCACCCTTGGGGAAGAGCCCAGAAAGAAGATATGGCTATTGGACAGAGAGAAGCAAGGTCTCGAGTGAGTTCATTGCCATCTCAGGCCTTAGAGATGATGATAGATAGATAGATAGGTTGACAGATTGATTGATTGACTTAGTTGCTTGCTTAACCACCCTCAAACTGAAGTTCTCTACTCAGTACAGCTTTCTGCAGGATTGTTGCGCAAGGCCCTTTCCCTTGGCAGAGCTGGTCCGCCTGGCGGATGCTGGATTCTGTAGGGAATGCTTACCTCCTTCCCCACCAATCCATGTCTCGTATTTCTCCTTTCATTTCCTAACAGAGGCACAAAAATGCACACCTGGCAGCTGCTTTCTGGCCCCGCTTCCTAGGCTCGCCCTGGTCTCCCTCCTACCCTTGGCTTTTCTTGAGGATACCTTCCCTAGGCTTCAACAATCCATCGTTGTTAGGTTTTTATCTTCCCTTTTTACTTTGCCTCTAAGCTCTCTTGGAAACTGTTCTTGACCGGCCATGTTCATCCTTATGTTGTTGGAAACGGGAGGGGCCCCGTCCCAGTGAGCCCCTGCATCAACAGGGAATAGCTGTGCTGGAGGGGACACAGTTGGAGAGATCTCCTGACTGCGGGGGCAGAGAGAAGACTCTCCAGGAGACAGCAGGGAGGGGGTTTGTGGGATATTACGAGTGGAGAGGCAGGGTCTCCAGTGGGTAAGAAGCAGGGCTTTGAGCCAGACTGTTGGGCTTGAACCCATTTCCTCAGTGGTTGTTTGTGGGCCTTGGACAAATAGCTCCGTCTCTCTATGCCCATTCCTCACCTGGACATTGGGAATAGCAAGCATGCCCTCCCTGTAGGCTGGGTGAGAGGATCAGGTGAGTGAGTGCATGGGAAGTGTTTAATCAGGGCCGGGCACTGGCAGGCAGATGCTCCTCATGTGGTTGTGGGAGCAGAATGATGTGACTAGTAATAATACCATTAGTGCTGACAGGTGGGAACTGCTGTACCGTGTCCTAGGATGTGTCCTTTCATTGCTCTTCTTCATCTGACGGTAACAGTTCCTATCATTGGGGGTCGGCCTGAGGGCTTTGCCTTTGTTCTCACTCTCACGCCAGACAGCAGTTATCATCCCCATTTCACATATGAGCAAACCGAGGCTCAGAGACGTCCGGTAACCTGAATTCAAACCCAGTGTGTCTGGCCTCTGGGTCCACGCTCGTTACTGCTTAGCCATTCCCCTGGTGCCCCTTTCAGAAACTGGGGCAAACTAGCCCGGTGTCCCAGAGGTCTTCACTGTGATGTTGGGTTTGGAGCTTATGGGATGTGGCGGTGGTGGATCTTCAGGCCAGAGCCGGCCAGTGCACATCTAGGCTGCTTTTTTTCTGAAGCTTTCCTCTTCCATTCCAGCAGAGCCATGTTGCTCTCTTCTTGCCCAGAATCTTCTCCATCCCTGCAAGGGAGTGGATCCATGTGGCATTCTCTCTAACCTCACCTCCTCCTGGATGTCAGTACTGCGTGGGCTGGTGTGTAAAACTCAGGGACAGGGCTTTGAAGACCAGAGAGTGAATATGCTGAGGGCCAAGTAAAAAGAAAATATTGTTGTGCTGCCTCTTCTGCTGATAAAGTATGTGGCCTGGGGTCTTGACTTCCCTGGACCTTCTGGTCCTCAACTCTAAAATGAGGATTGAACTGGGAGATGGTGTATGGTGCTGTCCAGCTACAACTTTTCTTTCTTTGATCAAATTATTTAATGCGTTTATCTTGTCTGCCAGTTAAAATGTAAATTCTTTTGAGGGCTAAGATTATTTCTTATACTCCCCCCATGTGCCAATAAATTATATATTTATAATTTAAATTATAAATTAAAATTTCAGAGCATAAAAAATATATACGTAAAGAAGAACGTGAAATGAATATATAGAGATAGTCACTGTCACCTCTTTGGGATATGTCCATTAGACTCATTTTCTGCTCACCATTGTTTTTTATTTATGTATCTATATGTACACATATACACATTTTTTTTACCATTTTAACTTTTTTAGCTTGAGAAAATATACATAACGTAGCATTTACTACTTTAACCTTTTGGGTGTATAACTCAATGGCATTGAGTACATTCACATTGTTGTGCACCTATCACCACTACCTATCTCCATTATATAGATGGTCTCATTTATTTCTTAACTCTATGAGCTAGACATCAAGAGGCAGTTTTGCAGAGTGGTTAAGAATGGAGCTTTGGATCTCCTCTGGATTGAAATTCTACTTCCACCCCTAACCAGCTGTGATATTGTGATATATAACATGAAATAATGTATATTTGGTCTTTGGGTCTTCACCCCTGTTCCTGGCACATAGGAAATTATAAGGGTTTGGAAAACTAAGTGATTAGTAATATTTGGCTTTTGTTCTTGAAAAACTTCAGAGCGATAAAGGTGAAATGGGTGTGTTTTCTTATTCATAACGAACCATTTTGACTAAGCCAGAGTTGATAGGAATGAGGTAACTTTTGGAATGCCCCTAAGGATCTGAGCTGGTTGGCAGGGGAACCAACCTTGATTCGAGTGTTGGAACTTTCAGGCCTTCCACCCCATCCCAGGGGCTAGTCTTGCCTACACAGTGGTCAGTGATTTAATCCATTGTGTCTATGCAATGAAGCCTCCAAAAGACCCCAAGGGGACAGGGTTCAAAGGGCTTTTGCGTTGGTAAATACTTGTAGGGGGGAAAGTGGTGCATCCAGAGATGACATAGAAGCCCCGCCTGCCTTCCCACATACCTTGCCAAATGCATCTCTTCCATCTGGCTATTCCTGAGTTACATCCTTCTATAATAAACCAGTAATCTAGTAAGGAAATGCTTCCCTACCCCGTGGCACTTTCCTGCATTTGCCACATGAGCAAATTAATTCAACCCAAGGAAGGAGTTGTAGAAACCTCCAGTTCATAGCCGGTTGGTCAGAAGCATAGGTAACAACCTGGACTTGGGATTGGCATCTGAAGTTGGGGCAGTCTTGTGGTGGGACTGAGCCCTTAACCTGTGGGATCTGACCCTCTCTCCAGGTAGATGGCATGAGAATTAAGTCAAATTTAGGACACCTAGCTGTTGTCACACAGTGGCTTGGGGTGTGGAAAATCCACATCTGGTGTCAGAAGTAAAGTAGTATGGTAGTATTGACGGTAGACACACAGGAGGAATGAGTTTTCCTCTATGCCAGCTGTTTGATGTGGACAAATTTCTCTTTGTTTTTTCCTGTATAAAATGGGGGCAATAATAGTACCTATTTTATAGGATCGGTGTGAAGATAAATATTTACAGTAACAGTTAATATAAATCTCTAGGAACAGTACTTGGTCTAGAGATAGCATTCAATAAATGATAGCTGTTTTAATTTTCCATTATTACTGTCCTCTGTCTTCAGGAAGCACATAGGTAGTATGCCTTAAGTTAGTTGACCTAGCCTGCATCAGTGATTATTTGGGTTGTTTGTTTTTTTGTGATCACTAGCAGGATTGAATACCGTAGGATGTGGGTTTTGGGGCACTGTTCATTATGATACAAATACAGTAATTGATAAGTTAAAAGATATGCACATTTTAAAGCTTTAAATAGGTATTGTTAAATTGTCATCAGAAAGATTATTCTAGGGGATCCCTGGGTGGCTCAGCGGTTTGGCACCTGCCTTAGGTCCAGGGGCACGATCCTGGAGTCCTGGGATCAAGTCCCACGTCAGGCTCCTGGCATGGAGCCTGCTTCTCCCTCTGCCTGTGTCTCTGCCTCTCTCTGTGTGTGTGTGTGTGTGTCTCGCGAATAAATAAAATCTTAAGAAAAAAAAATTACCTCAAACCTTCAAAACCAGAATGACATCAGAAGATTTCATGGGGTTGCCTGGGTGGCTCAGTCAGTTAAGTGTCTGCCTTCAGCTCAGGTCATGATCTCAGAGTCCTGGGATTGAGCCACCAGGAGGGGCTCCCTGCTCAGTGGGGAATCTGCTTCTCCCTCTCCCTCTGCCTCTCACCCCCGCTCCTGCTTACTCTCTCTCTCTCTAAAATAAATCTTTAAAAACAAGCAGCAGCACCATTTCATGGCAGCCCATCCACCCCCCCCCACCCCCCACTGCTGCCTTCTTCAGTCTGTGTGATGGGAGGACCTGGTGAGCTGGGATGGCTTGTCATTACAGATGTCAGTGACCTTCGAGGACGTGGCTGTGCTCTTTACGCGGGATGAGTGGAGGAAGCTGGGTCCTTCTCAGAGACACGTGTACCAGGAAGTGATGCTGGAGAACTACAGTAACCTGGTCTCCTTGGGTAAGGCAGTTTTCCCTGTAGATGACAAAGTCAGAAGTTAGCATAAGACAGCACCTGCTTCCCTGGGTAAAAGCCATAGATCATCAGGAACTTGTAGCTGAATTTTGCATTAGGATTCTACACGTTATAAATTAAAAAATAAATATTTAAAACTCTTTCCCCCTTACAGGGATCTGTCCCATCCATGGGACAGGTGACATACCCACATGTTGGAGACTCCCTCATAGTTCAGGCAGTGCTTTCCTGCTCTGATTTTCCATGATTTTGTTTGCTCAGCTCACAGCAGAGGGCATCCCTCAACCATATTCATTAACTGCCACCAGCCTTTCCCAGTTCTCTTTTCCAGCCTGACAAACATTGTAGAGTCCATCTCTGAGAGACAGTCAGATAGTGCTTTCTAGTTTTAAATAGAGGACGTGGTACACAGTATCTTGGTACATAGGTACCTGTCTATAAACATTTAGTCTGAACATCTAATAACATGTGCCCTCTTCTATAGAAGGCCATCAGTACTCCAGGAATCAAAGCTGCATGTTTATTGTATTTCTCTAACATACAGCTAATTATTGCACAACCACAGGTCCTACAGGTCCCTTGCCCTTCCCCTTACACACACCCCACATGTCATCGGGCACAGAGTGACCACCAACCCCTGAATTTTCCATTCAGATCTGTGGTGCCTCTTTGAGTCATAACAAAATGATGTCTTTTTTCTTTCTTTCCTTTTTTTTTTTGTGGGGGGGGGGCTATGAGCAGGACTCCTGTTTTCCAAACCAAAAGTGATCTCCCTGTTGCAGCGAGGTGAAGATCCCTGGAAGGTGGAGAAAGAAAGTCCTGGAGGCCCCTCCCTAGGTGAGTGGGTGGGCCTGAGGCGCCCAAGGAACCAGTATGGGCAGCAGTCTGGGTAGAAAGTGGACGGCGCAGCTTGGAGAGGTTGGTGGGGAAAGTTTCTCCAGGCCACTGTAATCAAGGTGTGGTGGAGAGGGGACAGGGAAAGTTTCTCCAGGCCTCTGTCATCAAGAGGTGGTGGAGAGGGGACGCTCAGGCCCCAGGTGCGAGCTTCCTCTGATTCTGTGGTGATCGCTGCTTCCCAGATGATCTGCCCTCATTTGTTCCTGTTTTCAGAAGAGGGCTGCACATCGGGTACTCAGCAGCAAACTGTGTTTAAGGACTGGCAGAGAATGATCCTGACTGAGGTTCAGGGTGTGTGTGAGAGGAGCTGAGAAAGGAAAGGGTGTGGAGAGGCAGCAGGACCCGCGTCCCAGCGTGCTTTGACAGGAATGTTGTAGATGGGACCATCCCATGGAAATGAAGGCTTTTAAGCAGCAGACTGATGTTTTTGTTATTTTAGAAAAATTGGCTTCAATCTGAAACAATGTAAATGTCTTTCGATAAGGGCACGGCTGGGCTGGAGAAGCTGTGGCCAGTCCCTGCCCCTGCATCGAGTGCCACAGTCAGAAAGAGAGCATGCTGGTGTGGACTGTGTTGTGGGGCAGGTGGGCAAGCCCCAGCTGAGACGGCAGCGCTGATGCGGAGGGAGAGTATGTGGCTGCTTGTGTGTGACTGTGTGGAGGTGCAGACAGAAAGGGCAGGGGACACACCTCGGCTGCTTCCAGTACTTCTGCTCGGAATGGGATTGAGAAGGGGTGGGATGAAAGACCTTTAGTTATGTGTAACCTTAACATTTCATAGAGAATATGTTCATGAAGGCCTGACGTAATTTGAATTTAATAGAATGGTCACTTTGGAAGCACTGTGGGGGATGCATGTAAAGTGAGGGATCCCTGATGTGGAACCTTCCCAGAGACACTTGCAGTAAGGTAGGTGGGATGTTTCTAGGGTGTGCAGTGGGGTCTGGGAGGGAAGCGGACGGGCCCCTGTTTACGGGTGTAGGCCGAGGGACCTGGAGGGGTGACTCTCACTTGAGATGGGAGTGGCATGCCCAGGTAGAGGTGGGGGTGGGTGGCTGTATGAGGTCTGCAGGGACTCGAAGGGAGGTCAGGGAGCCGTCAGGTGCACAGGTGGCATCTGACCGCAAGGTGACCAGGAGAGGGCACAGAGCAGAGGACAGGATCCCAGGAAACCTCCCCATGTACGAGGTGGGTTAGGGAAGAAGAACCTGGCTGTGCCCGAGAAGTCATCAGAGGAGACACAGGAGGGACAGTGGTCCTGGGAGTTGGGGACAGAGAGCTGAGGAGGGTGAGAGGATCCGGGTTCACACCTGCACCCACTGCTTTCCTGCCCCATAGTGAAAGGTGCATGAGCTTCATGCTGGGCCCTGGTGGTATGATCTTGGACAAAGGACACAGGTCCTGCCAGCCGGGGGTCATGGTGGAGTGGGGAGATGAGTGATCGTGCACGGAGCGCATGCGGGGTGCAGCATGATCCCACAAGGGAGACACTGCATGGCATAGCACTGCAGCAGGAGGGCCAGCATGGAGACCTGGGAATGCAGGCTGTCGTCCAGGCCCAGGAATAGACTGTGTGAGCCCAGGGAAAGGAAACCAGCCTGTGCTGCTGGGAGCCAGGGGAGAGTGGCAGGGACCCGATCCCACTGAGCCGGGGATCCCAGACGCAGGATGCTGTCTGGGTCTGAGACGCAGGCAGGGAGCCCAAGGAGTGGGAATAGCCTGGCTAAGGCTCCCGGTTCACACCCTGCTGAGATCTGCCTGTGGGGAGCTGCTGGCATGGGAGTGGGGGCTTGTCCCAGCTGCTGTCAGGTCCAGACGCGGCAGTGATGGCTGGTCATCCCATGGGCCTCACTGAGAAGCTGGGGGGTAGGTGGTCCCCAAGCACCCAGGACAGGAGAGCTTCCTTCCCACCTAACATTGAGGTTTTTGCTGTGGGAACTACCCTTGCCTGTCCATCTGTCTTTGTAACTCTAGTTTGGGAGAAAGACACAAAGCATGTGGAAGCTGGTCGAGGTCGCACAGGAGGCCACACCAGGGCGCCAGCAGAGGGTCAGCGGGGGCTTCAGTCCCTTGGGGCACCTGAGTGGAGGCTGGACCAACGATGGGAGGAAGAGAGGAAGGACAGGTCCTTCCCTGTCCTCTGGCCCAGGGAGTCTCTGATCATGGATAACTTTCTCTCTGAGTGAAGCAAGTGCTCTTTGGGTTTAGGGGAACAAAAAGTGTGCCTGGAGTCCAAAGCCATCTGGAGAGGTGCCGGGGCCTCTGGGTGATGGGGTTGGAGTCCCCAGTGAGCGTCTTCTCTGGTTTGGGGAGATGTCCTGAGGGCGGACATGGGTGGGCATCTGAGGGAAGGAAGGTCATCACTCTGATCAGCAGTGTGTGTCTCTGGAAGGAATGTACCCCCCCTTTCCTCAGAGATGGGGGTCACATGGGTCGTACTAGGAGTGCTGCAGCCCTGTGGAGAGTCCCACTGCCTGGACTAGGGGCCTCAGAACAGCTTCTTCTCCTGAGGGCAGCTCATTCCCTGTGAGCACAGAGGGAGGGGCCAGCATGTTCTGGAAGTACTTCGGCTTCTTCCCTGGACCAGAACCCGAATCCACCCCTTGCACAGTCAGGGACAGAAAAGACTGCGCTCCCAGGAAACCTCTCGCGGCCTCCAAATGTCCTTTAAAAAAAATTTATTTCAAAACTTTTCACAAATAGGAAAAACAGAGCAAAGAAAAACAGTTACTTCTGCGTGTGTATGAGATGGCATGAAGGGTGTGCGTCTCCTCAGAGTCTCTTGCTTAAGCACAAGTGAAGTGGCGCTTTTCTGAAAGGCTTGTAACAAGGTGATTGAACCATCTTGTACACGGCGAGTTTGCTCTACACCCATATGTGGAAATATTCTTGAAATCTAAAAGTTGACAATGCAAAACAGCCTACAGTGAAAATGTGTATTTCTTTCACATTATTTTCTCTTCCTTTGTCATCTCAGTGCAAGAAGCCTGGTAGGGGGACTGTCCCTGTGCTGTGCGGTCAGCTGATAGGTCACCTGGGGGCTGCCCCCCACCTCTGCACAGAGGGCGGGCTTTTTCTAATTGGCACAGAGGTGTTGGCCTTTGCATCCAGTGACCCAGCAGGTGATGGTTTTAAAGTGAATCTCTTAGGAGGTGCTCTTTAGCCATGTCTAGTATGTTAGGGTCAGTTTCGTCCTTGTCCTCTGCTCACCCTGTCAACAAGACTCTTTTGTGTGGCCCTGCACCTCCCTCTTGCCACCAACCTGTTCCTGTAGCTTCCAGAATGCTCTACTAAAAGGTAAATAGTGTCATCTCACTCCTTCCCCTGCCTAAAATTTCTTGTGACTTCCATCACATGCAGCATGATCGAGTCCCCATCATGGTGATTGATGAGAGCCATAAAGGTCACTTGTTATGTCAGTGACTTTTGGACCCCACCCAAGGCTGGGCACTGGTTGCTAGGCAAATCAAACCTGTGGTTGGAGTGTTAGAATTTTCAGTCCCACCCCCTGTCCTCCAGGAAAGGTAGAGGACTGGAGGTTGAAGCCATTGCAGCGGGCAATGATTTAATCGATTTGGCCTGTGTAATGAAGGCTCTATAAAAACGGAAAAGGACAAGGTTCAGAGAGTTTCCTGGTTGATGAACATGTAGAGATCTGGAGAGAGGGGTTACATCAGACAGGGCACGGAAACTCCTTGCTTTTCCCCAAACATTGCCCTATGCATGTCTTCCATCTGGCTGTTTTGAGTTACATCCTTTTATGATAAATGAGTGATCTAGGAAGTAAACTATTTGAGTTCTGTGAGCCACTGTAGCTAATTAATCTAAACCAAGGAGGGGTTGTGAGAACCTCCAGTTTATAGCCCAATGATCAAAAGCACACATGATAATTTGGGCTTACAACTGGTATCTGAAGGTGACAGGGGACATCTTATAGGACGAGCCCTTAACCTGTGAGGTCTGATATTATCTCTAGGTAGCTAATTGAGTTGAATTACAGGACACCTAGTTGGTGTCCAAGAACTACTTGTGAGTATGGGAACCGCCTCTTTCCCCCCTACATGGGAACTGGTGCACCACTTTTAATTACCTTATAGGCATAAAAATAACTTCAAACAATAGGCAGGGGGCACCTGGGTGGCTCAGTCAAGTTAAGTGTCTGCCTTCAGCTTAGGTCATGATCCCAGGGTGCTGGGATCAAGTCCCACATTGGGCTTCCTGCTCAGTGGAGAGTCTGCTTCTCCCTTTCCCTGCCCCCTGCTTGTGCATTCATATTCTCTCTCCCTCTCTCCCTCCTTCTTTCTCTTTCTCTCTCCCTCTCCCACCATCAAATAGATAAATAAAATTTTTAAAAATTTTAGGTGATCCCAGAGGTGATCCCATAGGACCAGCCAAGACAATCCTTGGCATCTTGCAGGATAGAAATCAAACTCGAACCGAGAGGAAGTGAGAGCAGAGTTTATTGAAGATGCAAAGAGAGAGCAGATACAGAGTGTCTGGAAGACTCAGGAGAAAAGAGGGAATCTCATCTTTGCTTGGGGTCTGAGGTTTTTGTTGAGGACAGTAGTCTGGGGTATGTGTCCTCTCAGGCATCTGGAAACTGGTTGAAACAAGGACAGGTGCTCAGGTGTCCTCTCTAAGTCACCTATTCCCTGGAGCCAGGGGTTCTTTGGTCAAGGTGTTTGGAGTCTGTGGTCTTGGAAAACATAAGTGATCTCCACGAGGCTTTTGCCCAGTCATTCCTTAGATGTTACCTATTGTGCTGGAAGACTCCAAAGAAACCATTAACTACTTGACCTTGACAAGGAGGACGTGCATTAGGGCATGTGTAAGGCAGGGACACAGGTAGTAGCGAGAATAGAGGCAGCCAAGAAAGCCGTCCTTCATGGGGTCCCTTTAATTTCCCTGAGTAAGATTATGTGGGTTGTATTTACAAGACGT